AAATTTCCATGCGGGAGGACCATAAATGTTATCGCATAATCAATATGTAATAAAATATCTTATGCCTATTACTAAGCCTACGTAAAAAGCATTTTGACCACATAATTCTTCGGTTCTATTCCATCCGCATTTCAATAGTAATAGCTAGGAATAACAAATATTTCACCTTGTGCGAATATTTATTTTGCTCTTATATAACCAATCTATCAGCAATAATTCTTTTGTGACCAATAATAATAATAATCATAATAATATTATTAATAATAATAATATAATAATAATAATAATAATAATAATCATAATCAATAATAATCCTTTTCCCAATTATTCCGGTAAATTACCCTGCCAGCATCTAAGTGACGTGAAACATGAAGTTATTCTTATGAAGGCCATAAATCGAGGCTGCATATCGCCTGGACTCCCAAGCTACAGGTCAGTAGCTGAGGTGACGTGGCTCAAGCAGGGAGTCCGATAACCGCGTGTTCAACCTGATGGGTTGTTTATGATCGAGAAATTCCGACTTCAACGATAGTTATTAGCACTTATATAAGTGACAGATAGTAAAGATCGGAAAAATTTCTGGCTTTAACAATTGGTATCAGCATTTTTATAAGTTTCTGGTAGTAAAGATCGGATTTTTTTTTTGTTTTAATTATTGATATTATCACTATTATGAGTGACGGGTAGTATATAATGGCCGGAAAATTTTATGGCTTTAACAATTGGTATCATCACTATCATAAGTGACAGATAGTAAAGATCGGACAAATGTGTAAGCTGAATAATTGATATTAGCACTACTATAAGAGACGGCATTGAAGACGGTATTTTTTAATACCGATAAGGCATTGAAAAATTTATTACCTAAACAATTGTGATTATCGCAAATGCAAGTAGTCTTTGGACCAGGACTCAAATGAAACGGATTCTCATAGAAAATGCAAATTGCTTGATAATACGCCCTTATTTATTGAGAAAGGATATAAAATTTTATCGTTTAGTAGTTGCAATTGAATTTTAATCCAATTTCCACAAACCAAATTGCAAGCAATCAGAATTGAGACACACTGCACACAAAGTTATTGATATATCTTAGTTTGAAATGTTCTTTTTACTTTTTTGCTATTTTCTCACTTATAGAAAAAAGGCGCTATTGTGCGCGTCATGTCGGTCTGTCTGTCTGCCTGTCAGTCTGTTCGTCCGCCTGTCCGTGACTACGCATTTTCGTGGACGAGAAAATGCGCTCTCTGTCACTCACTGCAGTGAGTACTGAGTTATATTTTTTTGAGCAACGAATATTTTGTACAATGGGCCGAGGAAATTGAGCCCAAATAAGTTTTTTTGTTATCATATTACTTAGAAAAATTTCATAGGTAAAAATTTCTTTTAAAATGTTGGAATTTAAAGTAGCACGGAAAACTCTCTCTTTTTCATACGCTAAAAGCTTGGTTGACAATTTTTTTGGTCGTTTCGCAATTCAGAACCAAAAAGTGAGTTTTTGACGAATATGAAGATTTGAAATCGAGAAATTTTTTTTAAATAATAACTATATTTTATTAAAAGATAACTATTTCAAAACGTAAAAAACTCCGGTTACTGAAGAAGTTTTACAGGATAGTGATGGGCAAGCTGATACCTAATTTTATTCGAATTTTTCAAGTTCAATGCGTTAAGTTCCGTTCGTCACTTCGGCTGGTTTATTGAAGTCAATTAACGTTGCACCAAATTTATTTGGTGTATAGTCGGGCGAATATTTAATTTGCTTTCCTGAAAAAAAAAAAATTATACACAAACGTTTGAGTTAAGCAAAACGTTTATCAATTTACATATGCAAAAATGTTCCCTCAATTGATTGCTGCGCACAATGCACCTGAATATTTTTCATCGCAGCATGAAAATTAGTTGTCTAAATTGTCTCACGTGCGACATTTGTCTCTGTTATATTTTATCACAAATAAAATTATAATCGCAACCAAGTAATTGTTGCAAGAAGTTTTACTCAGTTGAGAAAAAGTTGAATTTGCATATCAACGTGATCGGATTTTCAGCGTAAATCATTAATTAGCTTGAATTTGCACATTTGCTTTTTCTCGTCCGAATAAAAAAACAATAGAATTGTTTATCCCGATTATTGTATGTGTATTAATTGCATGTTTTTAAAGAACAGATCCTTCACTAAAGTGTAACTAGTGCAGAACATGCAATCGAGCTACAAAAATTAAGCGCTCTTTCATAGAAGTAAATCACAGGTAAAAAATGTCTTGCTGCTATACTATACAAGACGGCACTTTTTTTAGAGCGGCCGTTCTAGCGTGATTGGTACGGCAAATATATATCTCGTGTGTCATTTACGAGATACATTAGTGATTTCAATACGTTTCATTTAACTATCTTATAGGCAAGAATTATTGGTTGTCTTACCCTTTCATTTCTAGATTTGCCAATCGCTGCTCTTCCTTTATAGGGGCTAATTCAGGGATAAGAGCTACAATGACATATTTCAGACGGCTGAAATGTATCGGGTATCATCGTCCTGTTCTGCTAAATTGTAACTTCATTATTGTGAAGAACGTGAGTCCAGGACATAGTGGATCGTGAGTCCGGCTTAATTAGTAATGATCCCATTAGACTAAACTAAAATGACGTTCTGGGGATTGTAGGTTGTTGACTGAAATTTAACTTGTAATTTTTTGAGGTCTCCAATTTTTATCAAACAAAGCGTTTGGTCCTTGCACGAGGAAGCTGATAAAAGCTTGTGGCATCGCATGACGATACTGGTGCAGTGCGGGGGTAGTTTATATGGTATCGTTCGGAGCATTGCTCTCACAGGTGGATTTTTGGACCACCAAACTCTGGGAGACTCATGAGAAGGCCACATGGAGCCGGAGTCGTCAATGTTGTAAGGGATAGAAATTTAAATTTAAAAATTTAAATTGATTTAAATTTTTATCCCTTAAAATGTAATGCATTATATAGTGCCTGGAAGTATGAAATAAATCTTAGTTCACATGGAGTAAATAATTGTATGGTTGGGGTTTCTAGAATAAATATAATTCCTTTGGCGATAGCTATTCGCCAGACGATTCAGAAATTATAACATTGAAGGCATTTATTGCTATATCTGCGGATTTTTATTTTAATTTGCTACCGTAAGCTTTATTAACTTATGATGTTAGTTTTAAAATTGACTGAGATTCATTTTCAGAAAGAAGTGGATTATTGGCCGAATAGCCAACGTTCATTTGATTCCAATCGATAATGGCTGCCGTATTTTGCTGCGCTGGTGGTGCGCTGACTTTGGTGGTCGGTGCTGCGTATGCCCATATCATTTATTTCATAACAAACCTTATTTATCAATACAATGAACGGACGACTATGAGGGCTGATATGCTGATCTTAATTCTGATAAATAATTGTGGACGAATAATTGTACCAACTTTTTCAAATAATTCCGTTTTTTTTTAATTTTTTTTCATAATTTTCATCTGACTTCTAGATTTGTACATAGACTGAATAAAATATCATTTTTATCGATCTCAATAAATCCGATTTTAAAATGAAAAATATCTCAAAACAAAAAGTTGAACTTATTTTTGTAGCCATTGTCCTTTTGTTTTTCCAATGGAAAGAAGTGAATGGAAACTGGGAAGTGTCATCGAACTCCAACTCCGATGATTTCGACCTTGGAATCAACATCGAAGACATTCTTAAAGAAATGGAGGAAATGGGCATGCGCACAAAAATAAGCAAGAAAACAGTAAAATCTACCAAGTCGTGTTCTGATAAAAATCAAAGTGGTTTTAGAAAGCCACTAGAAAATACGTCATCAACTTCAGCTGAAAAAGTTACCGCAAACGGCTTATTTGGAGATTTCGATGACATTTTAGCATCCATTGTTAATACAGACGCTGTATACGTAGCAGGTTCTGAAAATCAAACGTCAGACAATTCTTTGGATTACTCAATGGCCAACGAAAAATCCAATCCTGAAGAAAATTCGGATTGGGACCCATCTGGAATTTTTATGCATTTGACCTCAAAGAGTGAGAAGCAGAAAAGATCAGTGGGAGAAAATCTTTTAGATATCACAAAACCAATCAAAGGTGAAAGGCAACCGCGCTTTTTCTACACTTTCGACAGAGGTTCTGCTTTCAATACCTCCATGGCTCTCACCATTCCACTATTTTCTTTCACATTGCCAGGTCAGTTTTTGAAAATATTTTCTTTCAGAATTAGGTTTTCCTGCTGTTAGTTATTCTTGATAGAGAACTCGCTATCCAAGAAGCATTCCACATTATTTTGTAGTGGTTGGAACGTAAATGAATAAGTACAAAATATCTTCTTAGAAAAGAGTTGTAATAAAAGTTGCATCCATAAAATTTAGTTTATTTATATACCTATTCTACGAATTCGTTCACGGATGTTTTCCATCATAAGTTTGTTTACGATAGCCCAGTTTTTTCCATTATTTACTATTAGTAAGTTCGTTTAATACATTTTTCCTTTACCACAATGCAGGTGCTGGCGACATCACAAACGACGGGGCGGATGGCGGTTTTTTCGGCACCCAGGCGTTTATGAGTATCTTCCTCGTAGGGGCGTTGTCGGTGGCGATATTCACCACCACTCAGGGGTCTATTGGGGAAGAAGTCCCCACAGGTCGTCACTTCAAGCCCCTTTCCCCAAGGGCTCAGGTAAGGGCTTGATTGCGCGATTTGAGAAAGCTGATATTCTTGGTTTCAAATGAAATGCATTAAAATGGTTTTCTCTCGCTGATTATTTAGGAAAGGTAGGCATTCAATTATTAACAGTTCCCAGGCGACCTTAGCGCGCTGTCAGCAGCCGTACACGGGGCGCTGGAGGAGCTCGCCGACGCGCTGGAGGTGAAGTCTTGTACACACCTTGCCACATGCGAGGCCTACACCGACCTGCATGCAAACAGCCTGCTCAGCCTGCCCTTCAGGGCCTACACACCGTGAGTTATGAGTTACATTGTACACATCTTGCCACATGCGAGGCCTACACCGACCTGCATGCAAACAGCCTGCTCAGCCTGCCCTTCAGGGCCTACACACCGTGAGTTATAAGTCTTGCCCTATACACGACGAATACAGAGCATTTTTTTGCAGTTCGTTCAAGCGTTAAATATAAGTTATTGACAAAAAATAATGAAGAGTCATTTGAATGACAATAATATGATCAGTCTGGAAATCGCTATAGCCAGAAGTTTACTTTTAACAGAGAAAACAGCATGATGGTAGGAGTAAAAAATAGTCACAACGCTGCCGCCAAAATTAACTCAATATCATGTGAATGGTGATTGGTTTTTGCATTTTTTCATAACGAGTCCAAGACTCATTTAGCTGGTTGAAAAATTAAAAGTTTAGCAAAAATTTTAAATTTAGTTTTCCTTGGAGGGAGAAATTCGGAGTTCTAAAGTAAAGCATCTATAAAAGGCTTCGAAATAAATTAATTGTCATGAAAATTGAATTAAAAATTCAAATAATAAATAATGAATGTGAATGTATTGGAAATTATTTTTAAATATTTCAAGACATTATCTAAAAGATACGAGAGACAAATAATAATGGATGTTAATATATACAACCAATAGAACCAATACGGTTCATGTTCATTTAACCTTTACGGTCTATGTTCATTTAACCTTTACGGTTTATGTTCATTTAAACTTTACCGTTTATGTTCATTTACCCTTTAGGGTTCATGTTCATTTAACCTTCACTGTTTATGTACATTTAACCTTTACGGTTCATGTTCATTTAACCTTTACGGTTCATGTTCATTTAACCTTTACGGTTCATGTTCAGTTATCCTTTACGGTTCATGTTCATTTAACCTTTACGGTTCATGTTCATTTAACCAATGAGCCGCGGGAGGAACGCTGGCTAAACACGTTCCATATTTTCTCATCAAGGATCCTGCCGTTTTGCTGGCTCAAAGCAACCATGCAGCGGCAGAATGTTAAGAAATCATCAAATCACAATTTTTTTTGTATTTCAGTTAAAAAAATTTCGTGGGGAAATCTTGACAAGTGAATTTCGCGTGAGTCAAAGATTACTTTTGCATAGTTGGAAACGCCGGGAAAAAGCCTTCCTTCGAATTATCCCACATTTATTGGTTTTACAATGACATTTTTGAACCCGCATTTCCACGTATTTGACATTTTTAAGACGGCGATAAAAGGAGTCAAATGAAAGTTGCGCTTTTGTAAATTGTATCAAAGTAAATTTGTTTAATACATTTTCAAACACCAGTTTCAAATGTCATTGTAATAAGGAGTAAATCGTTCCGGTTATCGAAGCTAAGTTCAATAGTGTGAGAATAAGTTCTAGAATGCTTTAACAAGCTGTTAGAGACAGACACTGTGCAAATAACTTGTAAATTTGCTCCAAAGTAGACCAAATAAACGCCAATAGTACAGTGTTCAGGTTTTAGTTAATAATTATCAATTAAAGATTCTTATAATGGCTCAACGGTCTTTCTCAATAAGATTTCATAATCATTAATACACAATTAGTTGAAGGACGCTAGGATTCAATTTATTATTTGGGACCAAAAGAAAACCATGTCACTATTATATTTTAGAGTTGAATTTTTGGGTGACAGCCAAAAAATTGTTCATGCCTGATAACGAAATTATTAGGCGCTGGCAGATGTAGCTTCATTAAGTCACTGCTCATTAAGAGGAGCTCAGCCTGTATGGATGAGCTGGGACCAGTTTAAATGATAACCAGGGACTTGATTGGACAACTTTATTTTTAGCGCATTTTCTCATTTATGGAAAAAAATGCTCTATTGTGCTCGCCATGTCCGTCTGTCTGTCTGTCTGTCTGTCCGTCTGTCCGTCCGTCTGTCCGTCCGTCCGTCACCTCAAGTTTTCGTCGACGAGAAAATGCGCTCTCTGCCACTCACTGCAGTGAGTACAGAGTTATTTTTTATATGTATAATTCCAGAAGCCTCTGTTTTAGATATCGACGGTGTTTTACCTCCCAACTTTGCAATCGGCCACACGAGATTGGCGATATATCAAGCTGCCGTCAAGATTGATTCTTGAGATATACCCCTACAGATTTGTTTAAAATTTCGATGGAAAGTCTTTGTCCGTACATAGTATTTTTAGTTTAGTTCCTACTAAGCATATGTATACGTTGTCTGTAACTTCAATGATACACACTGCATTAGTCGATTTATATGTTTTTTAAATGGTAAAGTTGATAGTTTTTTTATTATTATTTATAGTTTTTCAATGAATGGTGAAGTTAATTTCCATCAAGGGCCTTATATGTTGGTAACCAACCGAAAAAAAAAGTAAAAGGAACAATTATTTGAGTTTTTTCCAGTTCAGGTGCAGGGACACATGTTTTTATCATGTTTGCTATCTTTCCACCGGCCGCCTTGCTTGGCAGCATTTAAAGCAAGTTTGGAACTGTCGTATTTTTTACTAACGCCATTATTCGCAATCAACAAGTGCATGGTCGCGGAAATTTGGCAATCAGAGACCCTAATGGACGGATATCTTATTTGACCAGAGAAGCTTGTCTCTTTTTAGCCACTTGTGAAGATTTATTGATGTAAAGAGCCAAAATATTCTGAAATTACAGTGCTTCTAGATTCTCAATGTTCATCTCCCGAAAAATTTTAGCAGTGATCAATAAGCAAAAGTAGGGATTAAAATTGCTTGCTCTCACTGATTTCTTAAGAAAGATAGAGATTCAATTATTTACAGTCCCCAGGCCAGTTTGCCTCCTTTTTTGACGCTTTTTCTTAGCTATGGTGGCCATTGTAACCGAAAAAGCATCCGGGCAGCGTTCTTGTCTTTTGAATGTTATTCTTACACCATAGATATTGTATTAATTATTGAATTACATATATCTCATGAATGACTCTCGGATTCAGTGACATTTTTAGACCAAGTAATATAATTCTTCCAGGTTACGCGACGACGTAACTGACGAGAGTGTGCTGACGTCACTCGAGGTCGCCGCACGTCGCTCGTCAGGATCAGGATCATGTCGCAGGGAATATCCTTGCATCGTCGATCCCTTCGAGCTGATGAACCTCGTCATTGACTGGGTAGCTGGGAAATTTTCATCCTGATGCGAGTAAAAGTCAATGTAAATGGTTTAGGATTCTGAATCATTTCACGTGATTAAGTTGAAGAATTTGGTAACATGTAATTAATATTTTATCGAATGATGGGAAATAATGGGAAATATATTTTTGTATGGATGCATTTGTAATAGTTTGAAATTTTAATTATATTATTATTTCACTGTCTCTAAATGCTCACACCTTATTTTTTCCAATGACTGGCGAACAAAAAATTTGACACTATTAATATTTTTAATATAATTATTTACTTAAGTTAATGATTAAAAAATCAATGGACGCTTAGATAGGTCAATAATAATATCGTAATTATTATTTTATATTCTTATTATTGTTCGCGGTCTGCTTCATTGAAATTTATATTCATTTAATTTATCTTACCTCTTTATAATGCAAATTGTGTGTGTAAAAAAACTCCTTCCCAAAAACTAAAAATATTAAGATATATAGTAACGATTGCGGATAAGCAAAGTTTATTATCTTGAGTTTTTGATCGACGAATTTCGATTCTTCTAATTATTTTACGAGTAACATTTATTGTTTTGTGGTAGGATTGGCATTAAAGTTTCATATTTCCGAGCATTGAGAATTTATATCAGTATTAATATAAGTTTTTATAACGTTGGTTCTAAAACTTTCTGTGATAATTTGTGGCATGTTTATAAAGCGTTTGTCGAATTCTTTGTCTTGACTTCCAACCTCATACGCCGATTAGAATAACCACGTAATTTCGTGTATTTTAAACTATCCTCAATCGCCATCTAATTTTTAGTAAGCGAGTGCCAATCATAAACTTCGAATCTGAAGTTCTAGTTCGTAAGAACTCGTGATCACCCTAGCTTTAATGATGAACTGCATCATGATTTTACAATTGAGAGGTCAAGTTGTTCATTGACTGAAAATGTCCCTCGATTCTTCAAAAGAATCTCAGAAAATTTTTGCATGGGGAAGAAAAATAATTCCCTATTTGATGTTGCAATAGATATATTTGAGTAAACGGTAATTATTTGTCTCATTAATTTATTTAGATTTGATTTGCAATATGCTCAGTCTCAATTTAAATTTTATTTCAGGGATAAGTCCCTTTTCTACGAACAGAGCGATAAAATCTACAATGTTTAAAACTTCTTAGAAAAAACTAAACTACCACAGAAACTAACGAACGACCTTAAACAAAATGACGTAAAAAGTTTTGACGTCAATGTAGTCAACGACGAAAACTTGACGTATGATGTGGCCTCAGGCAGCGGCTCATAGCACTGTAAAAACTCGCCCAATCTGTTACTGAAAACGGTCCAAACCTATCACGCGTCAACCACGACGTCCGCACCCACTCCATATATGCCGGCTTAATGACTCTCTTAGCATCAGGTTTACCGCTAGATTTTTCGGGGGTTTACTGATATCAAGGTTTCGATCATTTTAGGAGTTTTTAAATACGAAATTTGGCATTGTTCGGTATGAGACGGATTTATTATTAGGAGGAGGATGAACAAGGAACGAGTAAGGAAATATATTTACGAACGCAGCGTTATATAGCTGTGGAGAGTATATTTCCCAAATACAGGAGAGTGTATGTCGTTGCCTGTACCGTTTACCTTTCAAGCGTGTAGTGAGGTGAGAAACAAACTCTTCATTCTAAAAGCTGTTCGAAAAAGCGAGGTAAGGCTATAATGATAATGCCATAAGATGTAATAAGTACATTATATTTACGTCAATCAGATAATTTTACAGTAGACAGCATCTTAAAAAGTACGTTGTGCAGAAGGCTTAACTACGAGGCAAAAAGTAATAATAATAAAAAAGAAAGAAAAAGACGTACAAGATGCTTATGTGCTTCCAAAATATTTGAAACACCTATTTACGCATTGGAAAAATTTGCAAGAAGAAATCGGTATAAGGCTTGATTCTGCTTATTTCTTTAATTGCAGGCCATTAAAATATTTAATTTAAGTGCATTTGATTACAGGCCGTTAAAGTAATGCATTGCTAACTGCTTCGCTAAATATAATCAAAATTTTATTCCTGCGTGCTTGTGCTAATATTACACGCAGATTAAATAATGATGATGAGATTATTTACATACTGAAATAAACAAAAATTTTGATAGTGAAGTCGACGTCCCTGAACTACTTTTACCTGGCATATGGAAGCTGACCAGGATTATTAGCTTTCAGGCAAAATAATTATTGTTCATTCAAGTCGCCGATTTGCTCTAATTTTTTACAACACTTCTCTTTAACTTCACTTCTTGTTTGTTTGTCTGTCTGTCTGCTACAAATCTTGCAATAGAAATTTAGCACACTTCTACTTATCCTATCGATCTGAAATTTTGCACACTTGCGTAAAGTTGGAGACAATGCAAGAATCAAGTGACAAAGTAAATGATTAAAAAAATTTTTTTTAATATTAAAAAATTGAAAAAATAATTTTGTCAGCTACAAATCTTATAACTGATATTTTACATACTTTTACCTGTCCAACTGATCTGAAATTTTGCACACTTGTGTGAAGTCGGAGGCAATGCATGAATTAATTGACAGAATAAATAATTTTGAAAAAAATAATAAAAATTGAAAAATTAATTTTTTTAATATTCGAAAATAAAATTAGAAATTCATTGTACATCTTTAACATTGGAGACACTGGATTCTCTAGAAGTGTCAGGGGAACAGAAGAGTCAGGGGACAGAAGTGTTGTCTTTAAAAAGTAATTTTTAAATGTATATTATTATTATTAACAATTATAAACCAATAAAACCTCAATGTAATTCAAATTTTAGACACAATACTATTGAGATGTATTTCATAGCATCAAATTGCATTATTAATATGAGTCCATTAGCGCATATTAATTTACAGAATGCCCTTAGTAAAATATAAGGGTGCTTAATCTTCAAAATTAAATGTAGAACTTGCTTCGATCCAGATGAACAGTCTTTTTTGAAACTATAGTGCATAATGGCAAATAGTGAAATTTTACAAACGGCAGTGAATAGATCTTTGCACATTTTAAGCTCCTTGTTTTTTCTTAATTACTTCTTATTTTGATATTCGCATGCTTCAAAAACATGGGATACAGTTTAAAATTTTCACTACTCACAAATCGCACTTTTTGAAAACACAAACAAATCGCACTTTTTTTTGTGTCTGAAAATCTGAGTATAAACATTCATAAAAATTTAATGGCATTCTTTTATTCTTGTAAAACGGTATTTATTTACAATCAGTCGTAGAGGAAGCATGCAGAATTTTTTTTTAAAAAGACAGCATTCAACCCTCGTAATAGTTATAGTTTTTCACGCTTCAAGCATCACACGAGCTTTATCTTTTATTATTACTAAGGAGAGAATTTGCCAGCAACTATGTCAATGACGAGGTTCATGAGCTCGAAGGGATCGACGATGCAAGGATATTCCCTGCGACATGATCCTGATCCTGACGAGCGACGTGCGGCGACCTCGAGTTGCCTTGAATGTTTTGCTTTAGTTTACCTTGAATGTTTGAGTGCAGTTTGCCGTGAATGTTTTGGAGCAGTTTGCCTTGAATGTTTTGCTTTAGTATACCTTGAATTATGAGTGCAGTTTGCCTCGAATGTTTCGGTGAAGTTTACCTTCAATGCCTCTTTTGGATAAATGATAGCAATAGCTCTGCCTAATGTCAAGTTACACAATATAAAATAAACAAGGAGCACTAATATGGATGCAATGGCATCAGAGAAAATTGCTGTTTTGAGCCTCAAATTACTCTGAATGTAGACTGGATAATAAAAAGTGATGGAAGATGTCCAGCCTGAAATAGCAAACTGCGTTATTAGAAAATTAATCATGGTAAAACTGACTCATAACTCACAGTGTGTAGGCCCTGAAGGGCAGGCTGAGCAGGCTGTTTGCATGCAGGTCGGTGTAGGCCTCGCATGTGGCAAGGTGTGTACAATGTAACTCATAACTCACGGTGTGTAGGCCCTGAAGGGCAGGCTGAGCAGGCTGTTTGCATGCAGGTCGGTGTAGGCCTCGCATGTGGCAAGGTGTGTACAAGACTTCACCTCCAGCGCGTCGGCGAGCTCTTCCAGCGCCTCGTGCACGGCTGCTGGTAGCGCGCTGGAGTCGCGCAGAAACTGTGCATGGAATGTAAAGTTAACAACTGAAACAGTCGTCAAACATTTGAGTCAATAGGTTTTTACATTATACCACATAACAGTGAATTATTTATATTATTATACATTATATTCTTATTATTTGCATGTATAAACTACTTGAAACAAATTCGAACATCATTTGAATGAGATGACGCTAAGTATCGCAACATCAATACAAATGAAATTGAGTGGAGCATGGTCATTCAGGATATCATTTTAAAAATGAGATAAAATTAGCCGCTTGAAATTGCCCGAAGGGAACTATTCCAATACAATGTAGTGGAATAGACCATAAATCTTGAATTTTCTGTGCGAAAAAGACTAAATACTCCTCAATAAAGGAAACAATGGCCAAATCTCATCAGAAAATTCTGTGTTGGATAAATCCGTAATAGGTATTCTGATTTATATTGCTACTTATAGAACCATGACAAAGGTCAATGGACAAATACTATCGACAATACCAGAAATCCTACTATACTGTTCTACATTAACGAGCGCCCCAAAATTGGCATTCAAAGTGGCACGGATGCAAGACTAGACGTTACTGGAGCTTAATTTCAGTCAAGGATGGTGGGAACGACTGCATGAGCACCATCCCACACGACAGCAGCCGGGTAACTAAATAGCAGCGTCTTCAGACCGTCTATTTGAGTGTTCGGCAGCGAATTTTTAAAATAGCAGCACCTGAGTCCCATGACCGAAGGAGTTGAGGAGACGCCCGGCGCTGCCCCCGATGCTCAGAGTGTTGAGCGCGATGTTGTACCCAGCGGTCGCCACGGCCCCCAGCAGGAAAAACGTCACGAACGTCAGCGTCGCGTACACGTTGGGGCCGTAGCCTGACTCTGTCCCCTCCCTCTCAGCTGCATTGTTGGGTCGAGTGATATTTCAGGAAGCAATGTAGGTGAAATAGTTTATATGGAAAGATTATCGAAGACTTGTCGACTGAAGCAAAATTCGTAATGAAAAATCGAATGCATAAAAAACTCGCTTACCTATAAATGGAAAGCAGAGAAAATGCCAATGAAAGATATTAATATTATTTTTAGATATGTTTCGGTGACCAGCTCCATCAATGGTTGAAAAAGCAAGAGCATGAGTATAACCATTCCTTAAAGCATATTAACAAAATAGAAATTAAAAGCCTTCATGACTATTGAAATGCAGATTAAGTGGAAAATGGCATTTGTTACCAATTTCAAGCTATTAAGAAATAAAGTCTTCGCTCGTTCTACTTTTGTGGACCGAAATTCGGAGGCTTAAATACTACTATGTTATAAGAAATTGATACAGGATATCAACGCATCCCATTGTGAGTGCGCACCTTTGGCAATCTCTCCTCAGGAGATTAGGGATAAAGTCTGCAACAGGTTTCTACCCCTGGACGAAGGAAATTGTGACTCATAAATCAAATTAGTAGCCTAATTTAATAATTAGCACATTTCGTCATTATTATAACTTATTCTAAGAGAGCGTATTAAACGAAACCTTTTCATAGTCACACAAACCAGGGTCCCACAATTTGCTAAACAAACGAGGGGAAAAAACCTGAAAAAATCAAACGAAAAAATATACAAAATAATACTGACCAGGAAAGTAGAAACGGATGAGAGGAATGGTGAGGGCAGCGGTTGTGTTGAGGGCATAGCGTCTATCGAAATTGAAGAACACACGCGCCTGCCTCTCCCCTCGGACGGGCTGCAAGATGTCTGACACGCTGTCTTCTGTTGACCGTTTCTGCACTTCATTCGTCGAGTTCAAGTGCTTGAAAATATTTGATGGATTCAAATCGGAATCAAATGTAGGATTAGATATTTCTTTGTCCCAGGAATAATCTAAAGATTCGTAGGCCGGTGGATCCGAAGAAACAATCGTGTCAGAATTTTGCGTTCCGGTAACGGACGTGAGAATGCTGTCGTCTCCCAATAAAATTTCTTCTTTCTCCACCTGAGAAGTTGTAGCAGGTAACAATGCCTCCACCTTCTCCTCTAAATATTTTGTAATTTTTTCTGCACATAACTTGTCAGTTTTGTTGTGTTTTTGCATCAGTCTCGTGCGCCTGCCTATCGTTTCTATTTGCTTTAGTATTCCATCAATATCGACTTCTCGACCAAAGTCAAAGCTTTCCCGATCAGTTAGCATGTTCGCTGAAACTCTGAATTTTATCTTCCCACTAACTTGTTCCCATTGAAATAAATATAAGAGGATAGCAACTAGCAACGATACTGAAAATTTGTGCATGCTAATTTCATTCATTTTGGAAACTTCCTACAAAAAAAATGTGGGCGATTGAAAAATATTACATTCCGTTGTTAACGACACATTATTTATTGAACACATAACAGTTGATATGAAAAAATCGTTTATTATTTTCATGAGCAAAATTCAGTCATCTGAACTGCAGACAGTACTTAAGCTTAAATAAAATAAAATGAGTCGCATTTTTAAAAGAAGTCATCGTCATGACTTTTGGTACCCGAAGAAGTGGGTAACACAATTAATTTTCAAAAAGTAACTTTTCGAAAGTTTATGCAGTGAAACACAGATAAATAATAAATTGGTGTATAAGTAAAATAAACAGTAAAGAATATCATTACTGACGTAAATATTGCAATATCATTACTGACGTAAATATTGTCAATCTTTTATCTATTTGTCTTTTATCTATATTTTCATCGTAAATATTATCGCCTGTGCCAGATTGCATTCAATTTTCAGTGACAAAAATTCTAATCATCACCAATGTACATTAATTAATACAAATATTGTGTAATGTAAATATTGGTGTGAAATTCTTCGAGACTTCGATCTTTATTAAACTTAACTGATAAACTCCCCCGGCCACGTCACCCGAGCAACTGACACACAGGCTCAGAGTCCAGCAGATCTGTCAGTTCACTGCATTACCGTTACCATAGACTAGGCCTGAGTATCTCGCTTATGGTTAACAATGAAAATAAGCAAATTTATTGTTTTTTGATCTTGCTTCTATCCGCAAAAGACTGAAGATTGTGATGCATAGAATGGATACAAAAATTTTAAATCTATTTTAAAATTAATTTCGAAAATTTGCTCAAATTTATCCGAATTAAAAAATAACTGCTCGGAGAAGTCAATTTTACTCAGTTTACTCAGAAGAACTCAATTTACTATCGACTTTTTTTGACTCAAAAAATAATATCACACCGTTGCGAAAAACGTTTCATCAGGCTACTGCGCTAATATCTGATTTGGTGGAGGACCATTCTTTATCTAATTTTTTGTCGAAGTGACTGAAATATTCCTCTCAGACTAAAATTAATTCTTCAATTTCATCGGAAATTTTACGGCGTTCAATTTAGTTTAAATGCTTATTATCGCAACGCTGGAGTGAGTAATATTCAAGTTGTCAAAAAGTATTATTTTAATTACTAAATTATCATGACATTGATGGAAATGAAAAATTAACCCGCGGTACACATCGAGTACTGTTAAACCAAATGCAATGAGAAGGCTAATGACCTCAACTAATCTATAGAGCTATTAACTGTGGTTAGAAGGAGAGGCTCTCAAGACAACAGCGTCTCCTGAATTGCAAAGAAGCCGCCTGTTATGGTTGCATTGGCAGCGTCAGCTCAAAAGTAGACTTCTATTCAGTATGTACGGCGCGTGCGACGTTCCGGTCAAATCATAAGAGACCGAGCGTAAGAAATCGTAAGTCTGGCATGGAATATTGTACGAACCCAATTGTGTAAATGAGCTAAACACTGCAATCTTTTTAGAGAAGTTAAGCAACATTTTAAAAAATGATACCGAATTAATATAATCGAAGTATACTATTGCGCTTTTAAAAATTATTTCTATTCGGTCAATATTTATTTGCCTGTCATGCTGCTGCCCAGTTTCAAGAAGCCGATTGATTGCTGAAGAAATTTTTTGCCGAGGAATTGCAGATTTAGGAGCCTAGTTAAAAAGCAAGGCGATTTGTTTTAGGAAAAAATAAATGATATTTTATGGATGATAATCTGAGTTATAGACAGATTTTATTTATATGTACATGGATAAACAAGTTAACCTGGATTGCTGAATTAAGTGAGTTGCAATTTTCTTTAGTCTACGGAGCTTGGTGTGCAAGTTCCAATATACAGAAAAGTATGTAACCAAAGAAACAATTTATGCGAACTGCAAATTTGAACAGTTATTTAAACATTCATGTGAACACTTTAAATTTCAACACACTTAAATGATTATCCTAATGCATTTTACTTCTATCGATAAATCGGTTACTGGAGACACCACTACAATACTATATGCAATTTAGGATGTTTTGTGTTCCGAAATATGTGATGAGTCTTGAAGATTTAGGAGGTACAGAAGGATATGCGGGAGGTATTTAAAGCCATGATAGGTACTAAAGGATATGATAGGAACTGAAGGATATGTTAAGAACTGGGCGATATGCTGTATTATGAAGGATACGTTGTATCTTGAAATATGATAAATACTTGATATACTTGAAGGATATGATGAGCGGTGGGGAAGCTTCGTGTCCGCAAGGCTATGTAGAGTTAGGATATCGAGAGCACATGCAGCGTTTCACTCAGCGGATGAGGCAGAAAGCCTAAATAAAAATGTATACAAAATGTCAAATCATTGCGTCTCAAAGATTAAAAAGTTTCTTTACTCTACAAAGTCTACATTATTATTTTTTAATAACCGCGATGGTCTGCTAGTAAAGTATTTCCAGAAAAAACGAAAAATCTCATGGAAATCTCGCACATAATCTACCTAATCTAATAAATTATAAAGTTGATGAATGGATAGGAGCAATGAGCACTTTGTTAATTCGAATTGATTCTGTGATATCATTTAATATTCGAAACTGAAATCGGTGACAAAGGATATAAATTTCTACAAGAAAATATTTCCCCTCGGGTTCTGACTTATTTTCTGAATTATTAATAAAATTCTTTTCCGCATTTTTTGATCTATGAAAACATAATACGAATTTTATGCAACTGAAAATATTTAGATTTCATTTCAATATAATTGAACGAATTAAAACTCTGATTATTCTACGCTTATTGTGTTACATTAATTGAGCTGGCAGATCAGGGCGCCTCTGAGCTTGCAGGTCAGTAGCCCTGGTGACGCGGCCGGGGGCGTTTACCGGGACATCTGCGGGCCAGATTTATTGTTCTGATTTTTGAACCAAGTGAACATTATTGCAAGCCAAATTTCAAATCTTGTGAATTCTAATTAAAAATGTAAAAAGGCAGTAACAGGAAAATAACACTTCTGTTCGAGACGAGTACGTTGAAACTCGAGTAAATGTAAATTTTTCATGCATTGGAAAATGATTGATTTATTGCTTTTGTTGATGCAAATTTTCAAGTTTATAATCGTCGCATATAATAATCAAACGAAAATATTGCAATCCAATTATCGCAACCGAGACAGATAAAAATTATGGTATTTGAAGAGTTTCATTTGAAAAATTTTAAATTCCTACTAATTTATTATATTGTGAATGATTTATTGTTGTTAGAGCTGTATTACACAACAGTGAGCCGCTTTTTATTAAAAGGTAAATTATTAAAATTGCTCTCATTCGACAGTTTCCTTTCAGCGAGTTAGCCATTAGCGAAGAAAATGTCCGATATTTTTCGAACTCAATTATATTATTACAAGAGTACTGCAGGAAATAATGTTTGGTTCGAGCAATCTCATTATTAGTTAATAATCGTTAGAAAACTTGTTTTTCATGTGAAAACTATGAACACTGAACGCGTTCACTTCAGAAGTAGATCTCAGTCAAACTGGTGCCAAAAGATTCATGGATGAGTTTGAGTCTATTTAAATGTTGACATGAAACTTGCACAAGCATTTTCACCTCGGTCTTTAGTACAATGGCATAAAATATGTCCTACATTATCATAATCAGATAATTAAATAAGAATTTTAAGTATAAATGAAACGTAATTTAAACGAACCAGAGGAATAACTTTTAGCGGCAGTCGAAATGTTCATAGGAGGTAAATGAATTTATCAGTTAGTTAACTTCCATAAGGTATAACAGCTAAAATGAGTTGCACCGATATCATTGAAATTATTTTAATAGAAAAAAATGCTGCAATTTTAAAAGTGTGCAATCAAAATATCGAGTTGCACAACTATTGAGAGACTAGTTGCTAAAAAACGTATGTAAATAAATAATATTGAGTTTTCATGGCAAAATCACAGTAAAACAAAAAAGACGAATTTGAACAAACCAAGTGCATCAATGTGAACCAACTGCATCAATGGTGGACAAATGCATCAATGTGAGATAAATGCCTAAATGTTGAACAAATGCATGAATGTTAGCCAAATGCATCAACGTGAGCCAGATGCCTCAATGTTGAACAATTACATCAATGTGAGGCAAGTGCATCAATATGAACCAAATGCATAAATGTGAACTAGATGCATCAGTGTGTATAGTATTTATACACATTCGGAAACTTTCTTTAGTAATACAGGGAATGACATGATACACGAAGATACATATCTGGGACGAGCGTGATTGGGTCAAACGGTAGTCGTCTTCTATGGTCCCATGCATTAATTAATTCATAGTAAGCACGATCACAAATGTAGAGCACGCACCTGCTCCTGTAGCACAGAGCACAGTTCAGCTAGCTTGCACTAAATAGCATTTTATTTACTGGTTGAAAACTCGAATTAAATTTTATTGTCTTTCTGATTTCATAAATTGTTTGGCATCACCACATTTGTATGTGGTGATGGCATAATTTGTTCTTTTACGCATCGATCAATCGCCAAAATTGCTCTACAATGCTTCGATCAACGAATGCCAGCGAAAAACAATGTTTAAATCACTGTAAAAAACGAACTCGAAAGTTATTAATATAAAGTGGCAATTGAAAAACTGTTAATATTAACTGTTAAGAATGGCGGCCTATGTTTTTGGTGACATTGACGTTAACATTGAGTTGTGCTACGTATACATCAACTGTCATCAATGTTATTTTAATCTTAAGACACGCGTCGCAAAGAATTATTGTGACGTTCTCTGAAGACGATAAAATTATTGCATCTCCCTCGTTTCCATTTAGCAAGGTTTGCTCTTGACAGGCAGCTCATTGTAGTTCAATCAGGACCTTCAATTTTTTCCGCACGAACGCTTGCGATTCGTCTGGCACGACGCTCCACGCATACGAGAGCGAGCTTCTTTATTTTGAACGGGAAGCCGGCGAGACGACAATGGAACATCGGTCACAGTGTGATCTTCATGCAGCGTTGCGGGCTGACTGACAGACGTTCTGATCTATTCCTGCAAGCGTTTGGCAGCACGCATCATACCTGTCCAACATCTAATGTTGCATAGATTTCATATAATATGATATGTTTGTTATACAATATCGCGGGTAGACATGCTTTTGATAGTATTTTTAAACGACATATTTGAACGATAATTTCTAATCTTATCTTTACACGTTATAAGTTTAAGTTTATCTATGTTTAAGATTAAGTAATTGACTATCGTCAAGACAAATAAGAATGGATGCGATTATATTTGTATTAATGGCTTTATGCAGTCGGTAACAAAGGAACAACAAGGAACTTTGTTCCTTGAAGCGAATTTTTCAACTCGGTTGTTGGACTCGGACTCAATTGACAAGACTTTATGCTTTTTGTTGGTCTTTTGAAACGTTTTCAAGAGCCTCTACCAAGTAGTTATTTCCGTTCGTAGAGGCAAAATGCAGTCTAAAATCTTTGGGCGATTATAATGCCGCACAGCAGTGCCAGAGACTGTTCCATAATTGATGTTTGTATCGGAGATCGCCACGCGCTGGCCGCGTACGTACAGGTTCGCTGCTGACGAATGTCACTTTTCCGCTAGTGAGCTTATTGAAGCTCACGTGTCAGGCTCAAGTTACACAAGAATACACGGCGAGGGGTTTGCTAACCCTTATGCAGATGCAGAGAAGTTCTCGATTTGAATCGAGCTTGAGATTATACAACAATTTTTTCGCTATAATCGAGAGTACAAACATTTTTTGGTATGTTTAAATATATATATTTTTTCCAATTCACTATGGAATACAAACAGAACCCATACAACAAGTGTGTGAAACATGATGATAAATTATCTCTCTCGCTTCCAGATAACCGCACAATGATCGTTAGGACTCGCAATTTCAATTTAATATTATTCCCAATTCTCTTTATCTTAAATACATGATATCAACCATCATATTTCCTAATTTTGTTCTTCCATGCATGCGTCATCACGATTATATATCAAGATGAATTGCATTCTCATAAATACGTCTTCTACCCATTTTTTACTCGTTATCCTCATATTTTCATTGAAATCGGAGGAAGCCAATTCAACAAGAAAATTCCAAGCTTCAACAGACTTCCTGTCAGACTACTATGAAGAAAGCTTCGACTTCGGTCGCGAAGTCAACATCGAAGAAATACTCCATGAAATTGAAGCCATGGGCATGCATTCAAAATTAAAGCAATCAGCTGCATCAACGAGACGGCCATGCTTGAACCAAAATCGAAGTAATTGCAGGAATAATTTGGAGGCTTTGTTACCGACTTCAAGTCAACAGGTGGAGAACGACAGTCATTTCCAAGCCGACGATCGCGTTGTAGCATCTGATGCAAGTACGCAAACTCCTAACAATAATGATTCGTACGATCAAACAATGGGAAATAATTTGGATTACTCATTGGATGCTGAAACATCAAATTCTGTTTATAATTCATATTGGGATTCATCTGAATTATTTCTTCATTTGAACTCTTCGAATGAGAGACAGAATTGGTCTATGGACGACAGTGTATCAGATATCCTTGATGACGGAAATGGCAGGAGAGAAGCACGTGGCCTCATCCACTACGACAGAGGTTATGCCTTCAACACTTCCGTGGCCTTTACTGTTCCATTCTTCCAATTCTACTTACCAGGTGCGTATTATTTGAAATCGATTTTGATTTTTGATCGCGCTTATTTATTTAACCAAATCCGGTTGGTCGAATTTGAAGTGCCCAATTTGATTTGCTTGTTGGTTAGGTTATCAAACACAGAGTAGTGTTCATTAAAAAAAAGTTTTAATCTGGGAAACAATATTTGATTTGATTAAACACTGTTCACATTTCCCTTCATCCTGTTAATCTCCTCATGGGGTCAATGACGACCGCACCTCAGCCATGTAATTAACCTGTGGTACATCTGCTCCTCTAAATTATTATTCACTGATAAGTGAGTCAGAATGACTCACTTATTCATGGCAAAAAGAGAACGGACTTTCGGTGATCCTTACACACGTACTGTAGCTTCACCACTCATTTATCTCATCGACTATAAGTGAGTAATGCTAAATGACTAATTTCTCTGATATTTATTACGCTGATCTTGGTCGGAAAAATCATTCCAGCCTTATTCTAGTATACGGAGTGATTTGCTTGCTATTAGGCAGGGCACTAGCATTTATGTCCGCATGATTGGAATCGGTAAATTATGAAGTCGATAAATGCTGGAAAATAGTTGAATGAGTTTAGAGGCAAATTGTAAGTAAGATATTTTCGAGATTCCAAGGATACGGTGAGAGGACCTTTTGTAAATCCGTTTGGCTGATATAATCTTTCAACGGATTGTTTTGAACAATTGCTGTTTGGGGAATAATTCTGGTATTTCTGACTTTCAGAAATGTCGTTGTATTCATACAAAACCTTTAAATAAGTCGTCAGAAGTAATTTATACACTTCTAACGAACCTGGCCCACTGCTCACCAGCTCTGACTGTCAATGCCACTTTGATATCCTTGTGCACGATAAAGATCGATATAAAACATATGCCATGCATTGAGAGTGAAATGTAAATCTCACATCGACCCAATTAGTTGTGAGGATTGCTTCAGACGAATACAGATCTGTTGTGATAGCTTTGAGTGGCGTCCCTCACAGATTCTCTCGACTTACCAAACCTGAAACGAATAAGTTTTTGAATGAAGCTCAACTGACGAACGAAAATATAAGAATGAAACTAGCATTCTAAAGTATAAAATTAAATTGCTCTGTTTAACGATATTATGCATTATATTTTTTCGCGAATATCATTGATTTAAAGTAAAAAATAGATGATTAAATGAAAATAAAAAAATAACTGATTAAAATAAGCTCTGGCACTCTATTAATTATAATTCGTCTGCGTTATGCTGCAACACAGGCGGAGGGGAAGGCCCGGAGGGAGGCATAGACAGCAACGTCCTGGCAAGCCTGGCGTTCGTAACGTTTTTCTTGCTGGGTTGGCTGTGGGCGGCGATATACACCACCACGCAGGGCTCTGTTGGTCATGAGGACAGCGCCAGGCATCTCATCCAGCCGCTTTTTCCGGGGGCTAAGGTAATACTATATTAATTTCGATTAACTGTTTTCTCATTAACCGATGTGCTTATAAAATTAAATATAAAGTTTGCAATTATGTTCACAATAAGGTGAGGCAATAATGAAGTCTTTAATTTATATCCCATATCCAATCGCTCAATGAAATTTATATAGTTACGAGTTTTATTTTTTCCCGGAATTCACCATGATAATTCAATCCAAGCATTTTTCAGCCATGAAATCCTATCAATTTCTTGTAGAGACTTCCAACTGCATATTTGCTCACGTTTTCTCTATGCAATTATTGCTTATGATTTCTAATGTTCATGGCAATTTATATTTATTTGATTTTTTGTTCATAGTCCATAACTTACGTGAAGAAATTTTTAATACTCGAAATTTTTTGCAGAATTTTTATCGATCACTGTTGTTCTACGCACTATATTCAATACACAATCTCTTCAATCGCTTCAATAAGAAAAATTAACGTACCAATTGAGTACCACCAATTTGTTTACTATGTCTCAAAGCTGCTTCATTTGTTAACCTAACCTTCCATGCACAGTTTCTGCGCGACTCCAGCGCGCTACCAGCAGCCGTGCACGGGGCGCTGGAGGAGCTCGCCGACGCGCTGGAGGTGAAGTCTTGTACACACCTTGCCACATGCGAGGCCTACACCGACCTGCATGCAAACAGCCTGCTCAGCCTGCCCTTCAGGGCCTACACACCGTGAGTTATGATCTTGCCACATGCGAGGCCTACACCGACCTGCATGCAAACAGCCTGCTCAGCCTGCCCTTCAGGGCCTACACATCATGCGAATCAGAAATATTATTTGTCACTATCGTTTTTTAGCGCATTTTCTAATTTATGGAAAAAAGGCGCTATTGTGCTCGCTATGTCCATTCGCCCGTCTGTCCGTCTGTCTGTCTGTCCGTCCGTGACTTCTCGTTTTTGTCGACGAGAAAATGCGCTCTCGGTCACTCGCTGCAGTGAGTACTGTGTAATATTTTTGATGAATTGATTTGCCTCTCAAGACTCATAACGAAATCGTGAAGTGCATTCGTCATCATCTCGTGTCTTGTTTAATTAGCCTGCACTTCATTAAATGCTCCTCATGAGTCGGTTGAGTCTGTATTTAATAACTAAAAATAAATATGCTGAGATGCCATTCAAAAATTGTTGGTGCTAAAATAATGTATTCAAAAACATATTGCATTCATTTAAACAAAAAGATATTGCGTTGAGGTCTGCTGAACACACGCACCATTCACTCTTTCACTGACCACACGCACCATTCACTCTTTCACTGACCACACTCACCATTCACTCATTCACTGATCACACTCACCATTCACTCTTTCACTGATCACACTCACCATTCACTCTTTCACTGACCACACTCACCATTCACTCATTCACTGATCACACTCACCATTCACTCTTTCACTGACCACACTCACCATTCACTCATTCACTGATCACACTCACCATTCACTCTTTCACTGACCACACTCACCATTCACTCATTCACTGATCACACTCACCATTCACTCTTTCACTGACCACACTCACCATTCACTCATTCACTGATCACACTCACCATTCACTCTTTCACTGACCACACTCACCATTCACTCATTCACTGATCACACTCACCATTCACTCTTTCACTGACCACACTCACCATTCACTCATTCACTGATCACACTCACCATTCACTCTTTCACTGACCACACTCACCATTCACTCATTCACTGATCACACTCACCATTCACTCTTTCACNAGAGTCGACAAGAGGTTAGTGGTGCAGGATCTCCCGGCAATAAAGCCATGTTGACAGTCTGATAGGAGATTATTAGCAGTCAGATGATCTATCAATCGATCCCTCACAACAGATTCCATTACCTTGCAAACGACACTTGTCAAACTGACAGGGCGATAGTTGCCCGGGCAGCTTTTGTCACCTTTTTTGAATAATGGTGTCATCGATAAGGATCTCTGTATATGGAAGCTGAAAGCTCAAATCTGTTTTGATTGATGGGCCTGACTTTAAAGGCACAGCTAAAATCAACAAAATACCCGGAGAAATGAGAGTAGTTTGTAAGGCGCTATACATACATACTCATATTTTCATTTTTTTGTCAAATACCTGCCATGGTTGAGCAACTCATTGCCCAATATTTGTACCCTATTTATCATTATTTTCACGTACATTGCATCATTTCCGTTACTTAACTATAGCATTCATTGTTTTTTTCTAATTATATGCATACATTGTGATTGACGGAAACTTTCTGATTTGAAAGTTCAATAGAAAAAGAATTGGTAAAGATATCTTTACAATATTAATTTTATTGTAAAAGACATCCCCTGAATTTTTGTATCAATTGGTTTTAAAGAAGACAGCGGTCAAATGACGGTCCCCATTGCCAATGAATTCAGTTCGTCGATTTTTGAAGTTCCGTTCAACTCGCTGAATCATATTGACGGGTATGTTGGCCATGGCTTGGCGTATGTTTTTTAAATGAGGTCCTTGAACCGATATGGTAAATAATTGACTAAAGATAATTCCCTAAAAAATCACACGGAGCCAAATAGGGCGATTGGGCCGGCCAAAGTAAGTCACCTCTCAAGGAGATGAGTACGGAATGCTCGTTAATTAAAGTAGCGAGAAAAGAACAGCTAGTTCAAAATTACCCCTCGACACCAAACGCTCGCTGCTCACTTGTCCAATGCATAGTGGCAACTGATTAGGCGGGATACAAAACTTCATGACCTTGTCTTTCATATGAAATAGTCCCCGCTTTTTCCCTACGATATCTGGCTGCCTGGCGTGAAATACAAAACAATTATTCTTATCTCCCATACCGCAATTTTTCCCGATCTTCATTCTGTTTTTGAATTGGCTTTCCTGCATTTTAGCAAACGAATAGTTTCCAAAGAACATCTTTTTAATCCCTTTTGTTCGTATATTGTTTGTTGTTCAGCTTCATCTGAAACTGGTTGCAGGATTCACACGCTGTCCTCGTACAATCCTTCATTTGTGTTGCATCATGAACCTTACAAATATTCTTGCATGTTTCCGTTACACCTCTAAATTTAGTGTTTTTATTTTGATGCAATATAATAGTTGCCTAATTCTTTTTAAGCATTTCTAGGACTCATATACATTGGCCTGAGTATGTTCGGCTAGTTAGCCTGAAGTCGCATGCTAGGCACAAAGTTTCAAGATATTTAGTCTCCCATCAAAATATAATTAATGACCTCAAGAGATCACGTGAATTGATTTTGAAAAAGAGATTTCGTTCATTTTTTTACGTAATTGGAAGAGACATAATTATTCACGGATGATAAAAATATCTCCACTTTCGAAAAAAAGTCTCTTCATTCTTAAGATTAAACTTAGAATAGTTGTTTAACGATCCAATTCAGTGATCGAGTTGATAGGGATTTATGTTTGATGACACTGTAAAATGACATATCTAGGAATTGGTATTCCATTTCATAACACTAAATTAAAAAAAATTTCTTCGGTACCAAATTGCATATTTTGCAGGTTACGGGACGACGTAACTGACGAGAGTGTGCTGACGTCACTCGAGGTCGCCGCACGTCGCTCGTCAGGATCAGGATCATGTCGCAGGGAATATCCTTGCATCGTCGATCCCTTCGAGCTCATGAACCTCGTCATCGATTGGGTGACTGAAAAAATCTCTCTCTGACGAGGGTGAAACTTATATTATATATATTATTATTATATTATATACATACATAGAGTATATTTATACCTTACATTATATTTTACACCAAAATGATTTCACAAATCCGTTTAAGAAAATGTGCCATGGCATCTGTTTAAGCAAGAATAGATTGTTTAGCACAATACGTTTAAAATGTATTCCTGATTTTACCATAAAAACGATTAATGGGTTTTGTAGTGAAAAAGTAAAATTTTTGTTTTTACAATCATGGGCTGTCTATATGAATAAATAAAGGAAAAATAAGTACTAGAAAATTAATAATAGTGAGAACTATTCAAGCAAAAAATAAATTCATTCAGTTTTATAACTATAATTCAATTCAAATTTATTCAAGCAAAAACTATTCATTCAGTTTTATAATTATTTATCATTATTATTAATTATTTGTTATAATTTCTAATAATTTCTGATACGGAAAGCTTTCAATATTTTCATGTCCTATTCGAATTATTGTGGAAGACGATCTCGAATTTTCTATTATATTCCAGAATATATTTTAAATTATGTTCCAGAAATTCCAGAATATCTAGTCAGGTCCATGAGTGGGAATCAAGCATATAATTTTGTCATACAGTTCTTTAATATGAAAGTTTAATATGACAGTTTAATATGACAGTTTGATATGTCAGTTTAATATGACAGTTTGATATGACAGTTTAATATGAAAGTTTAATATGACAGTTTAATATGGCATTTTAATATTTCCGTTCATTATGACAGTTTAATATGACAGTTTATTATGACAGTTTAATATGACATTCTATTATTTCAGTTCATTATGACTGTTTAATATGACAGTTCATTATGACAGTTCATTATGACAGTTTATTATGACAGTTTATCAGAGTTGATTCTTAATTTGGTTTAAAAATCAAATGGTGCGCGTATCCGAGTATTTTGATGGCATTATTTAGGTTACCGAAGCTCTGCTGTATAGATTACCTTACTCTTTGTATTATAATGCAGCTTAAGAGAATTTTTATGCGAATTTCAGACTGCAATCAACCGGTTTTATTATTTTCTACCATACCGATGATAATTGTAAGATATTTGATTTGTTGAGAATCAACAATCATGAGTATGTATTCCCTTTTAAATTCAACTATAAACTTGAGAAGTGATGTTTAATTATAATGTATTATAATTATAATGATTATGATACAGTTGTATTTGACCTTGTGCCGAATTGTAACATACGGTTGCCTAGAGTCGGTAATTCTTTCGTTCTATATCCTCAATACAGTTATCCATAAATTTATTGCCATTAACGTCATGTTATAATATTCATAACTTCTTTTCGTAATTTTTTCCAGCCATTAACGAAATTTCTTATATATAAGTACTAAATAAATTCAGTACACGAGGTACGGAGCATAGAGTGCGTTTTTTGTATAACGCCATCACACATGAAATTCATGTCCATCAAGAGCATGCAATCAAATAAAGTAAAGATGTCAATAAATACTTCAACCGAATAGCGAATTCTGAGTTCAGAAGAAAGAACTCTAAGCCGCAGTATGGCCCAAAAGTTAAAAAAAAATTCTGTGCTGAGATGTTATTCTCTCGTAACTCGTGTAATGTTCGCTAAGCAGATATCCTGGAAAATGATCAAAGCATTTCTGAGGCGAATACGTAACATAGTAACCTATGATATATTTTGAGCGAATATTAAGATTTTTAGTTGTAAAACTTATTCGTACGTGATCTGTGAAGGATATATAATTTTTACGTGACCTACCTTAGAAAAATATTTTATAGGTGATCTACATAGGAAAGATAATTTATGAGTGATATACATGGGAAATATAATTTATGAATGATATACATGGGAAATATAATTTATGAATGATATACATGGGAAAGATAATTTATGAGTGATATACATGGGAAAGATAATTTATAAGTGATCTACATGGGAGAGATAATTTATGAGTGATCTACACAAGAAAGATAATTTATGAGTGATCTACATAGGAAAGATAATTTATAAGTGTACTTGGGAAAGATAATTTATGAGTGATCCACCTAGGAAATATAATTTATGAGTGATATACATAGGAAAGATAATTTATAAGTGTACTTGGGAAAGATAATTTATGAGTGATCCACCTAGGAAATATAATTTATGAGTGATATACATGGGAAAGATAATTTATGAGTGATATACATAGGGAAGAAAATTTATGAGTGATCTACAAAGCAAAGATAATTTATGAGTGATCTACATAGGAAAGATAATTTATGAGTGATCTACATAGGAAAGATAATTTATGAGTGATATACATGGGAAATATAATTTATTCATGATATACCCAGAAAAAAATCCAAAGGAAATTGTCATGGATATTTCATGGAATGGTACGTGCTTATATTATAACTCTGGCAGATACATGATTTTTATTATGAATGCCTGTCGTAGTTAGATAATTCAAGATTTATATGGCTAAAAATTAATGGATTGTGCAAATCCTGTTTTTAAATATTATCATATTTTATTTACAGTATGAATTGATTTTGATCTACTGTAAGATACAAAATTGCAAGATAATAAATAATCTTAAATTAAGCTGTTTTTTTTTTGTAAATTTTTAATACAATCCTCATTTAACGAATTCGAAGTTAATTAATTTTTTATTTATTAAGTACATTTTTTTGCAAAACAACAAAAAAGAGATTGCAGAGGTACATTATCGACCACTTTTTATTTTGACATAATTTAAATAATTTTCTAGAGAGGACTTTCCAACAATAAATATTTGAGGAAGAGGCTTTTATCAGTACAGTAATTTCCAGTGCTATTATTGACAATATACCAATTCCACAATCACAATGAAACGTCCCCAGAATGTAAGTAAGCAGCAGAATTAGCGCAATATAATTCAGTCGTTAATCTTATTTTCATGAGAAGTTAGGGTCTAATTTATTAAGGAGCGTCATATGAATTAACTAGACTAATCTGAGCGCTCAAAGCAGTGAAACTAAGTTCTCAGCAGCATACGTATATGAAATATTTAAATATCACTGATAAACTCTAATATAACAGAACATTAAGGCAGGAACTGTAGGCACCAGCCATCATTATTCGACACCAATGGTCACGTAAAATGTGATGTCATTTCCTATACGTGACCTCAAGGCAGGTTCGTTGGCACGGACATAACGGAATTCAGTCTCTGCACAGAGACACTGCAGCGCGACGAACTGTACTGGTCCGGCAGTCTCTCCTCAGCGTCGGTCCTGAACTACCGAAATTTCAGTTCATCCCATGTGTAAGCGAGGGCCCTGTCGTGTCATGAGATGAAAATTTTCTTTTTTTTCTGTTAGAGAAATTAAATTATTTTCATTGTGTAGTATTTTTGTATTCGCACCCAATCGAAAGCATTTGACAAGAAGACCACCTAATAATACTCAATTTAGAGCTCGTTAAATTATGAACCAATTTTGTTTACTCACGCGAGTTAGCTTTTGCTGTCAGGTCACACAAGATTAGGGCATTATGGGGTGGAATATGTCGCAGAAATCTCACCTGCAGCTTCAATATTAAAAATTTTACACAATTTTTCTGTAGGGTTTCCACATATTTTATTTCAAAACTAACGAACCAGGCAAGAAAATTAGCAAAATTATCCGTGATGAATTTTTAATAAATGCAATGTTGTAAAGTTTCGAAATTCATTGTAGGACGTCAAAAATTTAAGTGCATAAGATCATTTTGCTTTGATAGCATTTTCCACGGAATCAGCACGGGAACTAATTTAGGCAACAATTCTAAGATGTAAAAAGTCTCTCGGATAAATAAATATAATACGCTAGAAATTTCTAGTCAATTATTAAAACTTGAAAGTTGCACAAAGTGTGCGCGAAAAAAATCATTATGCATCATCATTTGTCATTCGATATCCAGGAATATTATATCTCTCCTTAAGGAATATCAGTAAAACGGATGTCAATGCTTCGCAGAATTTTGTTGAATGATATGCTAAGGTCAGTCTGATTACCGAGAAAATAAATATCATTGACTTCTCGTCATATATCACATCAAATTCGTTCAACAACAAAAGGAGGAAGAAATATCGTTGAAATGGAAAATAGTAAGAAATTTGAAAGTAATTTTTTTCATTCCATTCGAGACTATACAAATAAGATGGAGAAATGCAATAAGCTAAAAGCGACTCTTTTCATTGGGAAGTAGCTTCTATATTAATGCATTCGGCAAATGGGTTCTGAGCGCTATCCCTGTTCGACGACAAATAATCTAACATTCTGGATTACATTATATTTTGATTAATTGACTTATAAAAAACACACCCAATAACGCAAAATAAAAATAAAAACTAAAATAATAAAAAACTGTGAAAAAATTCCGTTCGCTTTCGCGAGCCAATAAAGTGTTGAATGAAGTGAAGTAATCTATTCGAATGGCTTGGGATTAAATATTTAAAAATTAAATTACTTTTACTGATGGCAAAGGTTTTTCTGGTGAGATTTGAGTTAATGCATCTGCATTTAATAAATTGATCCTTTTTCGATTATTGTTATTCGTCTAATTATATCTGCAAACTTACCAGCTTGGTAGTTCAAAACCGTGTTAACTGTTAATTATTATTCATGATGCAAGTAAATTCTGATTTTTATAAAAAATAGCTCGGTAAATTCCATGGTCGTGCTGTTCTCAGCTGTGGTTTTAGTTACAATTATCCCGGATATTCGTGGCAAGGTCCTAGCTAATTTCTACAGAAATAAAATAGTTTACTCAAATTATGCCCAAAGCTGAATACATAATCTGCAATTTGCCCTCATTAAAAAATATTTAATGTAATTTTAATTTAAAGGTATTTTATTGATATTAGGCCAAACCTAAAATAATTTTTCAATGCACTCTAACGCGTAACTCTAAATTTGTAAATAGAAATTTAAGTTGTATTAATGAACTGGTTAGTGAAGCCATCGCCTGTAAATGC